GGTAGTTGACAGGGATTTATTGTGACGAGTATATCAAAGCCAGTTTATGACGTTATGGGACCATTGAATAAGGATTCCAGCGCTGCTTTGTGCCAGGTTAGTGAGACAACATAATTCAATTTTCTGGTCGGGGTTCAAAGGCGAAATTCCAAGAATTGAGTCTGTGACATATTTCTGTTGCTGTGTTTTGGCCTCCTTGTCGAACATTTCAGATTTTTCAAATATTTTGGGGGACGAAAAAGGACACCCATTTTAAAATAACTTTTACCCAATATTCCCTGAACTGTGAAAATCCAATGAAGTTCATTCGATTGCATATCCAACATTTTTGAATTCATACCATCCCATTCTGATTTCCACCACGCCCACATGAAAAAATATGATCCGCGAACTTTTTTCTGTCCGCTCTCTGAAATTTAAGAAATTCAGTGCATCACAGATTTTTACTCAGATTAATTAATTTTGAATAACATTTAAACCTTATAGAAGCAGCTTTCAGTTTGTCTCTCCACAACTAACTTTTGCGCTCAATTATTCTTCGCATTGTGATTTTTTTGACTGATTCACAAAAAAATGAATTTAATACAAGTGGCTGTGAGAAATGAAGGACGTTTGGGAAAATTTTCAACCGATGTAGGGAATTTTAGACGTTGAACTTCAATTCTAATGGAGAAAAAATGTCATTATAAACAAATGCAACTATTTTTGGGCAATTTTTTCTCAAAATCAGTGATGACCTTGCGGCAGTCCTACTGACGACAATTTTAAAATTCACAAGGCAACTGAGGCAACTGCAATTGTATTTATTTCCTTGATATCGTAGATGAAATATCGATCCTCTTTTTTTCTTGGTTTACCCGGAAGAACCTTCTGTAATTGGGTCAGTAGCCCGCTGGAGGGCGAGGGCCGAATTTATTGCCTTTCTTTTCATCGTACTTTTATTTTAGAATGCCGATATCGAGAGCAGCAAGACAGATTTGTTCGGCATTTCGAACCCGGCGCAAGATGTCGGAATCAGTGTCGAGATGCACGTGGTGCGAGTGGAACCCGTCACGGCCGAAAACGGGCCCGAGAAACCTGCCACGAAACCCTCGTCGTCGGGTAACCTGTTGTATGGTCTGGAAGACCGACCTCCATGGCATTTATCGTTTCTTCTCGGGCTTCAAGTGAGTTCGTTTCTGAACGCTTTTTTTTTTTTTTTTTTTTTTTTTTTTTTTTTTTTTTTTTGTGATTTTTTTTTTTTTTTTTTTTTTTTTTTTTTGGATCACCACTTCACATCAAATTTAATGCCAAAATTTCAATTCTCAGTCTCCCGTGACGTGCTGTGAAAAATCAAAAAAAATTGAACGCGAGTTTTAGGCATTGTATTTTGCAAAACAAGTTTATTCTATTGCACGCCGAGCCAATAAATGGAGGGAGTTTAAATGAAAGTAAATTCTCGAGCAAAATTCATTAAAACGACCCAATTTCATTATAATTTCATTCTGGGTGAAATTTACCTTGCAACCGGTTTCATTACTACCATTTCAATTGGAAAAATCCTTTAGACGAGGAATGAGATTAGCTTTCTTGTATGCACAGTTAGAATTGTAAAATTTCTGCATTCATTCAGATTATACTTCATACTTCTTATCAGTGAAAGAGGATGTTGCATTCGTTTAATTATTGCTGATGCATGGTCTACCGAAAAACGAGGATTCTGCATGCAAATCTAAACCGCCAAATGCCTTGAAAAATGTTCAATAGCAAGAAAATTTGAGGAAAAATCTGGCTTTTATCTAGACGAAGAAAGTAAAATAATCAAAATTGTAGTTTATTTCAGGACTATTAATAACGTCCTGATTTCAAGAAATACGAAGTTATTTTCTTCAAAAATGAATTATCTCTCTTGGTTAGAATGAAGAAAGTGTGGGAAACCCGAAAACAGAAGGAAAATATTTTTGTATCCTTATCTATTGTCTGAGTTCGGTTATCAGTGAATGAATCCGATTTGTATCATAGCCGCATGAAAAGAAAAGTAAACTTTTCCTTTCCTGGGTGCTGAACAATCATCTTTTTCCTTTTGCCAAATTCACACCTCTATATTATTTAAATTTGAAGATTAAGAATTCCCACAAATTATTGTTTTAAATCTAGTAGAAAGTGAATATTACACTCGGCTACCTCACTATTTTCTGGTGAAATTGTCTTTCAAGTGTTTCTTGTACTCGAGGAACTACTTTATTTCAAATAACCGAGCTCTGTCTTAAGCCACGGAACAAGTTCCGGTTCATACAAGGGATTCGATCTTGGCAATGCGTGGAATTTCAGAAATGAATACCGCGGGTTGCGCTCGAAATATTTTCTGGCCCCCGGAAATTCTGGGTCAACAATTTCTGTGAACCTTGACCTGTCGACTTCATTGGGCTAGTTTCCAAATATACCCCCTTATCTCTTTGCAATAATTGGATCCCGTAACTTCGGAGAAGAATTGATATTACGAATGAATTGAGGCTCAGATTTACGATCAATTATGTCTGCCACTAATTCTAGATTATTTTCGTACGATGGGGATTTTTAATCGTGAGTTCCTTGGTTATATTTCTTGAGGTACTTTTTTTTTCACCGCCAGGGTCGGTTCTCGAGGTCCTCCTGTGGTAATTTCTAGCCGTTGTGGATTTTAATTTAAAAGCTACAACTGACACATTCTAATTAAATGATTAATTTGTAACAAAATGATTGATTAAGCCGCAGAGAACATGCTAGGACTTCTGTTCATTTGACACAGCACTTCACGATGATGGTGGGCGGAACGGTGTCAATCCCGTTTATTATAGCTCCGAAATTGTGCATCCTGGAGACTGACCCAGCTAGGTCATACATCTTGTCTTCAATCCTGTTCGTTTCCGGACTTGTGACCATCCTTCAGACATCAATAGGAGTCAGGTACGTGTGATGGGAAGTGATGCCTTCAATCCAATATATTCCTCGAGTAGCTGATTCGGAAACAATCATGCATGTAGAGCGAGATACTGATCATTTTGAGACTTCCTGATAAACTTCGATCCAAGAAAATCATCTACCTAAAAAACACCACAGAAAAGGATTGAGGAAAAGTAGTAAAAATTGTGAGGAAAAGATGAACAAAGGATTTTTCTTTTACCACACAAAAGGTGAAAGGTATACAAAATTCGTAACTGGTTTCAGATAGTTTGAGAGAAATGAAATATAATTTGAGCAGCTGGGCTGCGGCTGGGACTTATCGTCCTATTGTAAATTGGTATATTATTCAAAACAAGATTGATCAGAACAACTGAAGAATTTTCACAAGTATGAAAGAACAAAAATACTGATTTCAGAATTGGTTGATAATTTGATACACACAAGAGTTCTCTGGAGATCTGTACGATTCAAGAGTTCAACGCAGAGTGATCAACTTGTGGTTTCTAGTTAACCACAACAACTTTCTGGATTAGAAATGAAGGCTGGATTTTGGCCACTTTCATTTTTCCCTTTTTTAGCAGCATGGAAAGGTCTTCGGGTGAGCCTGGGAACCAAACCTGGGTTTGGTTCTCAGGCTCTGGAAAAAATGCGTTGAGAGATTAGTTGTTAATTTTGTCTGGCGCCTTTCAATGTTAAGAATTATCTGGTAGTTGGATTTTTTCCTGACAACAATAGCTGGTCATTTTTTATAAAGCAAAGTTCTTCAAGATCATTAAAACTTTCTCTTTCAAGCGTTCACTTCAGGGGTAATCTGTAGTGAGTTAACCCTTGGTTCACAAACCTTTTTGGTTCTAGGCAAAAGATTATCCCACAATAGGGTTGTCAACTGAATTCGAATTTCCCATGGACTTCAAGGGTGAAGACATTCATTGGTTCCTTGCAACCAAAATACAAATTAAATATTCGAATAATGGATGATCTCTGAAGTGATAGACCTGTCTTGAACTCTTGATTGCATTCTAAAAACTTCTGCGCAGAATTAATCGATTTTCCTGTACACATATGAAAAAATGGCAGAATGAGAACTGCATTTGCATTGTAAAATATTGTAAATGTTTCTGAGCGACTCAGGATCACAACTCCGAGCATGTAGACCACAGTTCACAAGCAAGAAAATTCCCGACAGAAAACCAATTTTGTCATGCAAATATTTTTCATCCCCTCACTTTTCAAGAACGTATCATACTTGTTTTCGCTTGAATCGCTTTCTCGTCGTTGATCAGGGATTTTTGAAATGCGACAAAGGAAAATTTCGCCTGCGCACGCATATACTCAAGAAAACAAATTTTTCGTACAGACTGCCAATTATCCAAGGCGGAACTTTCTCAGTCCTGATCCCGGCCTTGGCAATCTTAAACTTGCCGGAAAACCAGTGTCCAGCAGTGAGTGAAATTGAACTCATGAGTGAAGAAGATCGAACAGAGTTATGGCAATCAAGGATTCGACTTATCCAAGGGTCCTTGGCGATCGCCTCCTTGCTTCAAGTACTCTTGGGATTCACAGGTGATTTCGTGCAGTTTCATACGGAATAATGGGTGCAGGTAAAACTGCAGAAGTTGGTTGAGAGGTTCAGAGGATATCGCTATAACGTCCAGTACTTTCCAGGAAAAAATGCTTGTCGGTTCGCGGAACTTGAAAGCTCTTGATGAAACGCGGTCAAGTTTGAAGAATTCCCATTATGTTTCCTGGCCTTCACTGAGTGTTTTTCTGGGAGGAAATGCTTGAATTGTTCAAGAAAAGGGTCAAACTTTTTAATCTATAAAAACCATCAATGCTTCGTGACCTGCTTTCATCCATCGCAATGATGTGATTTTATAGATGCGGTGACGCCCTTGAAAGGTTGATTTCCGCCTTTGAGAGTTATTCGATCATTAGCATTTTCCTGTGAATTCAGGATCACGCTTCGGTGTGACTAATAAAAATAAAGGATTTCATCCGATTACAAATGCACAATTTTAAAATCCCAGTTGTCGATGATAGAAACATTCGATTGAAAATATGCGCGAAATAATCGGGACATGAAATGTATTACAGGCGCCGTGGGATTCATCTTGCGGTTCATTACACCAGTGTCGGTGGTACCATTGGTGGCGCTTGTTGGTTTGTCGCTGTTTGACGCCGCTTCTGCCAGCTCTTCGAAAAACTGGGGACTGGCCTGCATGTGAGTAATAAATTCAATGTGTTTTCAAGTTTCAGGGCTTTGGTTATCTCGGGAAACGTTTCTGAATCCCGAAGGGATTGAGTCTTTCTCATAAGACCTCCTTGACGCATATGATGCTGAAGTACAGGGGTCTCTTCAAAACTTTTCCACATTCCGTATATTTTCGAGAACAATCAATGAATTGAGAAAAAAAAATTTCGGTACCATTAATTTACTCATCAGAAGTTTCCTCGTGCTGTGACTCGAAGAATAAAAATATTTCTATATGTAAGACAAATCAGTAATTGGGCGCATATCGGATGGTTTTCCTAAACCACGCCCATTCCAATTGCCAAAATAGAATGTGCGAATTATCATGCAATCTATCCAAAACTGTTAGAATTTTTAAAGATGAGTCATTGATATTCGCTTCAATTACTGTTGAAATTTTTTCAAACTCTTGCTGTTCGCAGCTAACCTTTTTTTTTGGTTATTGCCGAAAAATTTGCATGCTGTGAAAGATCATGGCACTCATTTGAGAATAAATGCTAGGCATCTTTCACAGACGAAATGTATGATTGAGTATTGGAGGAGTGCTGGAGTCCAGTTGATGCACTTTAATTTTTTTTCACTTCCGCATCTGATGGGAAGCTGTTTGGGGTAAACAAACATTGTACAGTATGAGTTGCTTGCAAAATACCTTTTTTTTCGAAAAGCCCATCTCAGCTAACCAAACATATGCTCTGCTTTGGCTACTTCCGGGTGCAAGGCGGAAATTCATACGATTCATGCCTTGATGATCAGCGCATGTCTCCCGAAGGGGATTATCCCTGGAAACTTGGTTTGGGGGAATCCTGACGTGGTCTCAGCGTTTGCCACTGGACCGGAAGTGAATTAAGCCCCGTTTCCGAGCGAATAGTTGCACGGAAGACTGCGGTAAAGCAGTGCTTTCATCCCTTTTCCCCGATGAAAATCAGAGGACGAGATTTTGACAATGCTCAGAAAAATCCATTAAGTAATATCATGACTCCAGCTGTCCAGTATTTTTTGTGCGAAGCATTCAAAAAAAAACTGCATTCCTGAATTCTGTTGATGCGTCATTGCAATCGCAATGAAAAGTTTATTCTGAGGTTTTTTTGAAGAAGCAATTACTCCAAGATACAGAAAATAACAATGCGGAAAAAATGCATAATCTGATCTGTAGGCATAAAAATAAAAAACCCCAAAAGCAAAGAACAAGCACTAGTTTTCCTGTACTGTTTCGTGCCCAGATGATTGAAAAAAACTCGGAAAAAATAAGCACAAAATTAGCAGGCTCTGAATTATGAATTAAACTGAATTTGTAATTAAATGTTTTTTTTTCAAATAGAAAAGCTCAATTGGTTGAAGAAATATTCTCGGTTATACATGCGTAAGATGGTGTTTTCAAACTGCATCAACTTTTACAAAATTGATTTGATTGTCGAGGAAATTAACTCGATGCAGTGAATGCCTTCAAATTATGTTGGGAGAAACTTCCCGCACTTTCCGAATAAATGGGAAAGTATTATAAGTGTTTTAACTCCAACAGAGTAACTGACTGATGCAATTTTAAAGGAAATGCAGGATCAACGGTCCCATACACGAGCTTGTCATAATTTTCTGTTTTTGTTTTCTATTGTGTTTTTGACAGCACGATGGCATTGATCGTTGTCTTCTCACAATACCTGAGGCATTTGAGCATTCCAGTGCCGTCTTACGACAAGGAGACCCGGAAGTTCCGGACAAAGCCTTTTCCGTTGTTCGAGTTGTTACCGGTAAGTGAGACACTTCTGAAAGTTCTGATGGGAAAAAATTTATGGCTCGCTTTCGGATGCTCGAAAAAAAATCCGATCAACGATTATATGCTCTTAAAAGCTCACAACATCATAAAAATTTGAAAATAATTTTGAAAAGTTTGCATTTGTATAAAGTCTACTGATGGAACTATCATACGTCTAGAATGTGAATCACCTTTACTCGTGATTTGCATTCTTGTGTGGTTTTACATATCTGTGGATAATGCAGCGGATTAAGGGCAGGGTTAAATAAAAATAAAATAGGAAGAAAACATTAAAAAAATACATGTACATATTTATGCATGCATAAATTATATACAGTATTGAGTAATCGCCTGCCAGGAAAAGCTCGAAAATCTAAAATTCAACTGAGCTTTCAATTATTTGAGCTTTGAAAACTCGAGTGTCGTCAAAACTTATTGCATTTTTTTCGGTTGTTGCCTTCCGGCAAACAGAGCTTTTGTAACGACACCTCATGAGAGTTTTTGCAAGAAATAATGTGCCTCACCCGTCTCGGAATCGCGTCCCTGGGGGATTTAGAACAATCTTCCGGGTTGTCCAACGTGTCACGATCTCAGTTCCGGCTATACAAGAAAATAAAATGCTTTTACTGTAGTATTTCTATTTATCCGGATTACTCGTCAATTATTCGTGAAGATCCTCCAAGTGCACTACGTCGCGAAAGGGGCCGTTTGCTTTATGAGCATCTGGAGAGTTGATAGAACCCTCTGTTTCTATCTTTTTCCTTTTTGTTGTCATATACCGAATAACTGGTGGAAGGTTTAGAGCAATTTTCACTCACTACCCGCTGGTGAAACTGAAATAGGAGAACCCTCGAATTTGCTTTTTGTTTTTGAAGATTATACTGGCGATTTTGGCAAGTTGGCTGGCGGCATTCATTCTCACGGCCACTGACGTGATTCCGGAAGGAAATCCCGGCCGCACGGATTCCACAATCATGATTTTGCGCAATAGCCCATGGTTCCGCTTACCTTATCCCGGTGAGTAATTTATTCGACCTTTAGAAAAATATAAATGCCTGTTCCGAAAGTTATTCCAAGTTTAACCCGAGCTGACCTCTCACAGTGGTTGTTTTCCTTTTGAACGGAAAATGTAAATTAAATTGAAAGGGACTTACGTTCTCCGAAATGTAAATGCGCAAGCGGATGTTTGTCGTGATCAACAAAAATTAGGAATGGGAATCGCATATCTGGCAAAAAGTTCGAAAATTTCCTGCAGTTCACAAGAAATTTTTAATCTACACAGTTTGAATCATTTTTAAACATTTTCTGTGCCCATCAGGCTGACCAGCAAATTTATCCCGATTTTCAAGGAATACAGCGAAACCATCAATCAAACGTATTGATTCATTCGCAACAATCAAAGTGGCTGAATTGAAAGTTGGCGGGTTTGCTTCAATTTGAATTATGAAAGTCTTTCAATATGGTATATACGTTGGTCATCACGGGATAAGTAAAATTATATTTCTCTGCAAAAAAATGTACTGTATAAAGCAGAATCTTGATTTTGTTGGTTGACCTTAATTGAATCGGCCTCAGCAATCGTAATTCGCAAAATAAGAATAGACGAGTATTGCCATTTCAAAGCTCAAACCCTTAATATTCCTTCAAGTTTCAATTTGTTCATGAAAAAGTAGCAGTTTAAACACAAATTTCTCCCACCTTCGGCTATAATGTAGATTCCATTGGTTTCAGTAAACGCACGAAGATAAATACAAATGTAAAATGTTTGCCATTTGAAAATCAATTGAATATTTCATTGCATTGGCGGCTAATGGATTTTGAAACATGGTTGCTTGAAAATCGATCCAAAATAATCAAGTTCGGAAATACGTAAATTTCAAAGCTCATTTCGTTAAAAGCTGAGGAGTGATTACTATACTGTACTCCTCGTAAGTAATCAAGTGTTCCCATTTAAAATAATGTGTCTCTTCTGTAAAACGTATCTTGACAATCGCAAGCTTGTCAGTGAGGATAAAATGGGCTTGCATTTTGGTGACAGTGCAAATCCCCGAGGCACTGCTTAAAGCGGAAGCTGGGAAGCTCAGCTACAGGATGGCGACAATGGGCAAGGACCAAATTTTGCTAAATCCACTCCGAAACGTCCGCGTATTTTATGTCATCTTGCCTCAGTTGAAATATTTCACCATTTTCTTATTCATATCACCTAAATGGAGCCTAGATTCTTCTTTGCCAAGGAAATATCGTTCAATAAATTTCACTTTTCGGGTACGGAACAAATTTTATTTCCAAAACACTCCCGTGGCAGCTCATAAATTATTCAAGTAACAGCTGTTTTTGAGTAGAAAAAAGTAAAGGTGTACTTATTCAATTCAAACAGCTTTCCTGATTCAGTTAACTGCAGTTGTCAGTAGAGTTGCCATATTCGAAGAACCCCACATACAATATTATTGTTACTTACGGAGTGTCGATTATTTTTAAAATAAGGCCGTATTCTAAAAGCAGTCTTAATTTTTTTCATTTGATAGATGCAAAGTTGTTTCACAAGTTTAATTTTTAAAATGTTCGACCACATGGTGCGCTTTTTTTTTTTTTTTTTACAAGTGAAAGCTTCCATGTCCGGCAGCTTTCATTTCTCTCAGCGTTATCGGACTCTCTTGATAAATCGTCTCACCGTATTAACATGTGGCGAATGGTCGAATGTTGCCAAAGATCAGGACCACAGCTATTCCAAGATTTGACAGGCGCTTTCTGCACTGTTGCCAAAAATATAGATATAGGCCGTTGCCCTTTTGTCAGAATAAATATCTTATTTCAGTTCGTCGCTCTATAAAGGAAAGCCATCAGACGCATCCAAAGCATTTACTTTCAGTCTCTTACTATCTTTTTAATTTTATTTTTTAAACAACGAAAGCTGCATTGTTTTATGCTGGGGGAAGACAGAATTTGCGAGGCCGAGTGTAACACTGGCCTAGAAGAAGGATCGGCTCATATTGATGTCGTCCACGCATCGTTTAGCCTTCCTATCCCTGCGAACTTTTCCCCAGTCATTGAAGTTGACGATCTTGGGTCGTATCTACTCCGGGGAAAATTGGGTCGAGGGACCGGAAATGTCGGCCTCGCTGTCCGAGAGGGAAGCTAGTGAAACCTTCGGCAGCTTGAACCTTCATGCGAACCCCTGTCCGGCCCTTTTGGATTAGGCGACTTGATGGCCGAGACGTGGCACGAGTACGAAAAATTCTATATTCATACGGCTTTTCTTGTTTTGAAAAATTAAATTGTGAGATTGTCCTTTTTATTTTTTAGCCCGGATTGCGCAAATAAATATTTTGGTATATGTGACAATTCAGTGATTTGCGGGCGAGGAATATAAATCAACAGATTGAAAGTTTTTCCATTTCCTGTACCTTCAACAAATCCACGAAGAATGTACAAGAAAGTTGAGATTATTTTTCAGTGTGCGGAAATGAGCTGCGTTAAAAATTGCAGGAAATGAGAGACATTTTATATGGACAAGAGTAGGATAGGAAACTTAGCAATACCTTAGAAATCAACAGATCACGAAAAAATGCGAAAAATTCAAAATTAAACAGAACAAACGCACCGAAAACATCATATTTCAGGGGCATGAAACACATCACATCCTTCCAGTGACGGAAAAAATTACGTCCCTAGACTCATTCTAAGCTTTGCAGAACGAAGTGATTTTTACCCAATAATAAATTTCAAAATTAACTTTCATCCTGCTGCGAAGGTTTAAAAGGTTAGCATAAACAAACATTCAGTTCAGTCTGAAAACAATTCCTTTGCGTTAAAAATACAGATGTGAAAAATGTTTTGCTTTTATGGAAAAAATCACGATCGAGCGCAAATTTTATGGAAATATCATTCCCATTAAACAGCGATATCGACACGTACGCACATGCAAATTTTTCTTCCACGAAATGTTCCATGCATTAGCAATAGATTTCATTGCAAATGATCGCCATTGATGTCCTTGAAAACAGGTCAGTGGGGAACTCCGGTAATAACGACTGCCGGGGTTTTGGGAATGGTGGCGGCCATATTGTCTTCTGTGGTGGAATCCATCGGCGATTATTACGCATGCGCCAGACTTTGCAGTGAGTTTTCAATGAATCGTTTTACCCAGTTGAATTTCAGGGCCACAGTATCACTTTGCCGTGATAAAATAATTATTTATCTATTTGTTTCTTAAAAAGTGCTGTTCGCATTTTCGGAAGCAATTCATGTTCAGTATCTTTATTTAAAATACTGCACTCTAAGGATCAAGTCTTTTAAGATATCTTTCCAATTGTTTCTGTTAGAAAAAATTCTAACATTCGAATTCGCGATGTTTAAGAGGAGAAACTTCTAGAGACGACTGAATAATCTGATGATGCTGAAGCCTGGGCTTTCATGGTTCTTCTCAATGGTTCCCAGATGCACCATCTCCACCAGTGCACGCCATAAATCGTGGCATAGGCATTGAGGGAGTTGGCAGCGTTTTTGCTGCACTTTTTGGAACCAGCACTGGTACCACGAGCTATTCCGAAAACATTGGCGCCATAGGTATCTCCAAGGTAACTTGAATTTTTCGAAATGATGACGTCTCGCTCCAGAGCCCAAATTTCTCCGTAAATGTAAATTTATTTTTAAGACGAGTTTTGAAATTCTTCTTGAGGGAAATTCAAGATATTCTTTACACAGTCGTTTTCCAGGAAGATCTTTTTTTGACCCATGAGGCATGAAGAACATATTGATTTTGATTTTTAAAATTTCATTTTCCTTTTCTTAACGACGAACGACGGAAATTTGATCGCATTTCCAACTGGCTCATCTAAAGCAGCGTGAATCTTCAAGGAAAACTGAAGTAGGTGGAAAAAGTATAGAACAGCATGATACGTTTTCAGTTGCTTTCGGGAAAAATGAAGTAAAAGTTCTTTGATTTTGGACTGGAAATTTTTAATTGTGCATATGCAGGTTTTGAATTCGGTAACTCGTGAAGTCGTAAATAAAAAAAATATGCAAAGGGACAAAACTGACTTGATAAAATTGAATCATTGGTCTGAAATTGAGAACCTACTCCGTTCCACAGCAGAGGTGAATTCAGCTCTTCTAAAACTCGCGTTGTTTTGATCTCACTAAATTTTGTAGCACGCGCTCTTTTGAACGTGCTTGGCGATCAGGTCACGATTCACGAGGGTCAAGCGGGTCGAAGCCTACAACCTTAATGTTATTTGGACTGATTCGCAGGTCGGCAGCAGGAGGGTGATCCTATGTGCTGGGGTCCTGATGATGATATGTGGGGTCGTGTCAAAACTTGGGGCCGTGTTCGTCATGATCCCTGAGCCAATCATCGGAGGGATCTTTTGCACGCTTTTCGGTGTCATCGCTGCTGTTGGTGTGGCGCATTTTAATGCTATTTTATTTCATGAAACCTGTTCTTCTCCTTCTTTGGCTCATCAAGAGTTTGTAATCCTATTATTATGTTGCATTTTAAGCTTTCCTCAGATTCATCTACAGTATTCCATTGAGTTTCCTCAGAGTTTCCATTTGTTTTGTTTTTTGTGTGCGAAGAATCGGCTTCAAAATTGAAAAGAACTCTTGCCCACAAAGTGGAGCATCCTTCGTTAGTCTTCTGTTTTTTGGAACAGACAAAAAGGATTTGCTTTTAGAAAGATGCAGTCAGTCCTGCTAAAATCCTGACGGTTTTGTTGAAAAGTCCCCCGAAATAATTTCATATTTTACTCGATTTGTCACCTGATGGTTGCAATTTTGACGGAGCCTGATGGATTCTCATCTTACCCACAGGACTTTCGAATCTCCAGTTCGTGGACCTGAATTCAACCAGGAACATTTTCATCCTGGGGTTCTCTTTGTTCATGGGCCTAGTGAGTGAATCTTCGTTAAGAATTCTGGTCTTTGCGCATCCCCGTTTGTTTGTTTATTTTTCGACATAAATCCCTTCCTTTACGTTTCGCTCGATCAATTTTGAAAGGAAATGATGACTTTTCAGGCAGTGCCCAAGTGGATGCAAGCCAACAGTGGCAAGAACATCATATCCACTGGATTATCCGATCTGGATTCTTTGCTCACGGTGCTGCTGTCCACGAGTATGTTTGTCGGCGGTGGAATTGCATTTTTTCTGGACAACACTGTTCCAGGTACTTTTTTTTTCAACTGAATGATGCCACTTTGTCATCATGTGATTTACATATACCGTAAAACGCTGATAAAATGTCTAAAGAATCTACCGGGAAAATACAGGGGGATTGGGAAAGGTTTGTTATAGCTGGAAAGTTTGTGAACTGGATTTTATATTTTCAAGCACAGCTTTTTTCTTTTCTGAAGGAGCATTTTGTGGGCCAATGTTTGCTAGCAGAATCAGTATTTTATTAGTCGGAACAGACAATGTAAAAATGACATATTTGCATAAGCTGGAATATTTTTTAGCTTGGGTTTTTGCTAGCTGAGACCCCATTGAATATGGCACCCATATTTCATACGATTTTTACTTCTTACTATATGAATGGAGATGAGACCTTACGAAATGTATCTGGATTATGGATGTCGTCATAAAATGACCCAATAAGTGCGCAGGAGAAAATTGGCGCTAACATTTTTAACCTCTTTCAAAAAAGCATTAAATTTATACCATACAGCTTGAGATTATTCCTGAATAAAATTCGAAAGTTAATTTCAAAACATACTGCTTGACATTTTTGGTGGTGAATACTGAATTGAAGCCCGAAGAAAGATATTTGCCATTTTCAAGACTGATCTGAAATCTTTAGAAGTTGCTTCTGGCCATTGCGCAGTACTTTCTGCGTCTTGCTGATGATCTTGCAAATGAAATTCCAGATATTCGGCAAAAAAGCGTTACCTGAGATCGAATAAATACATCTATATTCAGAGACAGCATTGGACTGAACATCTGAGATATGTCCATTAACCCCACTGAAGGAAGGAATAGATCTTATATCACAAAAGAGGAAATGTGTCATGAAAGGCATGTTAATCCGAGATTAAGACTCTTGATACGCATTAGGTTCCACGGATAGAGTGTTGACGAAAGAAGGATAAGCTTTTCTCTTTCATGTTTTTCTAATGCAGGCACTGATGAAGAAAGAGGAATGCTCAAGTGGCTTGACACGGGTGAAGGAAGTGACGAAGGTGACGAATTGACGACACAAAGAAGATCAGCAACGTTGTCTGCTTACGATTTGCCCTTTGGCATGGATATTGTTCGCAAGTAAATGCAAATTCAATTTTTATATACATTTTTCTAACGATAAACAAAGTTCACCCAGTTCAGTAATGCAAAATCAGTTGGGGATAACTCGTTAACAAATATCCCCGAAAAATTAACTGGGATAGAAATTAAAATTGAATTGCATGACTCGGCTCTCAGAATGATAAACTGAAAAAACTGTTAATATAAGAACCCGAAAAATATTTGTAGCGTTCAAATTGGATTTATCTCAAATTATGTGAATATTCTTTAAATAATCTAATCACATTCGCCTCCACATGTGGGATTATAACATTAACTTAATTCAACATGATTGCATATTTTTGTAAACGAGGAAGTTCATTCGCTTCTTGCTGGTGCATTTTAAATATATAATTTCATCCCCTCTTTCGCAGATGGAGCTGGTCGAGCAAAATTCCTTTCAGTCCTACGTACGTCCGGTGACGTAATATTATGGAAGCCATTATGCTTTGAAATCAATGAACTTAAAAATATTTCTATCGGTATGAGATGCTTACTTTTGAATGTTTGACCCGCTTTTGATTCGCTTTGGATAATGAACTTTGGTTTTCCACATACGATTTCGAAGTTATTTGTAAGTACCAATCTTTTGAAAAAAAAGACAGGTAAATATGTTCGTTGATTCAAAAGTATGCCTCCTTCCTCAAATATTTACAGCTGGGTTCAACTCGTTTAGAAAATCTTGGACAACTGTAGAAGTGCTTGAACAGTTTGTTGGGATATTGTATCGTATTTTAGTTTTAATGCATTTTCCAAAGACTTCTTCAACAAACCATCAGAATTTCCGGTATTTGCTAGTTGAATGACTGTGATGAAATTTGAAGCTTTGTGAAAATAAATTTCAGGGAAATTATAATAACAAGCCGAGTTGAAATAATCTTCGAATATCGGATGAGTAAAAATATCTCAATTGTGAAGTTTAAGCATTTCGACGAACTTTTTAGCGGGGTTCAAGGTGAGAGATTCTAAAATAAATTCATTGGAAAGGCTCATTCACCTGAAATCCTGAAGTCTTCACCCAGTTCAGTAATGCAAAATCAGTTGGGGATAACTCGTTAACAAATATCCCCGAAAAATTAACTGGGATAGAAATTAAAATTGAATTGCATGACTCGGCTCTCAGAATGATAAACTGAAAAAATTGTTAATATAAGAACCCGAAAAATATTTGTAGCGTTCATTTTGGATTTATCTCAAATGATGTGAATATTATTTAAATAATCTAATCACATTCGCCTCCACATGTGGGATTAAAACATTAACTTAATTCAACATGATTGCATATTTTTGTAAACGAGGAAGTTCATTCGCTTCTTGTTGGTGAATTTTAAATATATAATTTCATCCCCTCTTTCGCAGATGGAGCTGGTCGAGCAAAATTCCTTTCAGTCCTACGTACGTCCGGTGACGTAATATTATGGATGCCATTATGCTTTGAAATCAATGAACTTAAAAATATTTCTATCGGTATGAGATGCTTACTTTTGAATGTTTGACCCGCTTTTGATTCGCTTTGGATAATGAACTTTGGTTTTCCACATACGATTTCGAAGTTATTTGTAAGTACCAATCTTTTGAAAAAAAAGACAGGTAAATATGTTCGTTGGTTCAAAAGTATGCCTAGTTCATCAAATATTTACAGCTGGGTTCAAATTGTTTAGAAAATCTTGGACAAATTTAGAAGTGCTTGAACAGTTGTTTGGGATATTGTATCGTGTTTTAGTTTTAATGCATTTTCCAAAGACTTCTTCAACAAACCACCAGAATTTCCGGTATTTGCTAGTTGAATGACTGTGAAGAAATTTGAAGCTTTGTAAAAATATATTTCAGGGAAATTATAATTACAAGCCGAGTTCCTCGCTTAGAACTTCTCGAATTGATATCTATAATCAGCTTCCAGCTTTTCACTACACGTAAAAATAGTCCGCATTATGGTGTTGAAATAATCTTCGAACTAGCCTACTCATTTTTATAGAGTTAACACTTCAAATTCGTAAAGCTGCTTGAAAAATCGCCCCAAGTTCCACTCTCTAAGATTTTATTTAAGTAACCTTTCCGAGTAAGTGGACTTTAGGACTTCAGTGTGAAAAGAAAAACACTCCTACAGAAACATTTTACAATGCTCCTAAAATAAGTACTTATCTGCAGTAATATTCTCAGCATCAGATGCTGGTTTTCATCGACGAAATTCCTGGGTGAATGTTTATAAAAAAAACGCAAAGATGAAGAGAGGTCGTGCGAGATTTACGAGCATTGCATAACTTGGAATGGTATTGTATTGCTATCATTTTCGAGTATGGGGCCTTTGATGTGGTGATTTTCTCTTATATTCTTGGAACCCCTGACCAACTCTCGGTTCCTCGGATCACGTCCAAAGATCCAAGAACTCTTTCTACTCAAGGAAGAGCTGAGACATATTATTAGACCTAGGAGCCGTCGGGCACTCTCGGACCCCTAGGCTTACTTGGCGTAAAGCAGATGGATTCATAGACGGGACAAAAGGGCGAAAATAAAGATGAGAATGGGTCTAAATCTCAAAAGAAAATGAGATTTTCATGTTATTCTTTGAGTAAGTCCAAAAATACTGTATTTTGCTGTATTTGTACGCACCTTTTCTCTTCTTACTTGATGAAAATTCGCCAGGCATTCGCGAGGTTTGGACTTCTCGTATTCAACTCAATTTAAAAAACGCAATGCTCAAAACATGTGATGCTAGTAGTTATGCCCCCTGTAACTTCAGAGGCGCTGAAAAATTTTCGAGGTTCATTTTTGATGCGAAACTGGTAAAATGATCACGTCGAAGGGATTTTGGGACCAATTCAAGATTTACCCATCACGTCGAACTTCCATTTTCAATTATTAACCCAGCCGCTCTGGGAACTGCAGAAGATTTTCCAGTTCAAACGCATGATGCAGCATTCCTTAGATTTCGGGAGAAAGAAGTTTCTCGGATCCCCGAGCACGCGCATTCCAAAGATCCTCGAAAACGCGCGGGAAAGCCTCGGCTTGACATCGACACACACTGAAAAAGTTGCTTCCAGTAGTTGGCCAAACTTTCTGTGAAGCACACGTATTTTATACTGTAATTAGTGGAAAAAAATTCGGGGATCAAACTCGATAAGTACCCTGTTAATTTCCGTGTGGTCGAGAGGAGAATGTGGGGAACCCTCGTCTGAAGACTCGATCCATTCCTGAGCGGAGATGGGTCTTACGAGCTGGAATGCGAGCCCCATTAGGCTCATGGAGGAAGTGAAGGGGGCCCGAATACTGTTTTTAACCTGGTACAGTACTGTACTTTGCGAAAGGCTCCTGCTGACAAATTGTTCTATGACGCCTCAGATGTTCTCATTATCCGAAACCATCTGTTGGAGAAGAAGGCTGTGTCAGGAAACTATTGAGTCGGCGATAATAGGCCGAAATAGGTCACTTCGAAGAGGTTCCTGGCTTGGGAGCGTCCGTCTCGATTTCATGGTCAGGTTTTTTCTCACCTTTGGAACGGGTTCTAAATTTAACCGGTCTTGAATGAATCTTTTCTCCAACGTTTTCACTCGCTTCTCGCATTCAGAGCCTTCATTTTCGCGAAGTCGGCAGTACCTTGCATCGGTGGTTTCCAACTGTGCTGTGCCAAATTCGTTATCTCGATTCCTTCCATCACCTTTTTGACTCGGTGAATTTTTATAGAGAAGCCCCAGGACGCCACTAGA